AAAATGGTCAACCAGGGCTTATAGCAAGCTCGCAATGATACTGATATGAAAGTTCATGACTCAGAAGAGATTGCATAAAAATTAATTTTCATGACTCACTGAATTGGGAAGCGGCTGTAACAGCCAGCTGGCAGAGGAAACAAGTGGATTCAAATGTAGTTGACAGGTAGTCACAAGTAAAAAAAATATACTAATTAATCCCTAAATTGAAATAGTTTTACTTGACTGGATAGATTTATTAATTAGCTACCGCCACACACATGCAGCGTCACTGTGTTGCCAGGAGAACGAAAGCTTTCCCTTTCGGTTTGAGGGAAGAGGCTGCCCATATACGTTTATAAAAATTAATATTTAAAATCAATGCACTTCTGACTCAAATCAGTTATTAAGAAAAATGTTATAATACATCTTAGTTTCTGCTGGAGTCAGTCAGAGTATTTCCATAGAGCCACTTTGCATCAGCAGCTCCTTGCTCCAGTGCTCTGGGAGAGTTTATAGTCCTGAGAGTTGAACACTGGATGACTGACAGCTGTCCTTCATGACAACAGAAGACACAGAAATCCTCCTCATCAAAAACATGACTTTGATCTGCATCCTCATCTGGACTCTCCTCTGCTGCTGCTTCACAGGTAAAGTCCAGAGAATCAAACTCCTCTCCTCTATGAACATCTGACCCTCTGAAATAAAGCAGACAAACCATGAAGCTGCTTTATGTTTTTGTCTCTGTGTCCTCAGAGTCCAGAGGTCAGGTCACAGTGACTCAGCCTGCAGCAGTGAGAGCTGATCTGGGAGGATCTGTTTCCATCAGCTGTAGAACCAGTCAGAATGTTTTCAAAAATCAATATTTAGCCTGGTATCAACAGCAAAATGAAAAAGATCTCAACCGCCTCATTTATGCTGCTAGCTCTAGAGACTCCTGGACTCCAGGTCGTTTCACAGGCAGTGGATCAAACTCTGACTTCACTCTGACCATCAGTGGAGTTCAGGCTGAAGATGCTGCAGTTTACTACTGTCAGAGTTACCACAGCAGTTGGGTGTTCACACAGTGAAACACAGTCATACAAAAAACTCCCTCAATCAGACTGAACTGAAAGTCTTGCTGAATCTCACACAGACAAACACAGTTTTTTTTAAATATCTTTTCTCCCAAGTAGTTTTCACTGAATAGTTTACATTAACATTTAGATTGTACTGGTATTTTTAAGGTCATTCATAGGCTTGAATATTTTAATAAACTTTGAAAACGTGATAGAAATAATTGAAAAAGAATGAAATTAAATCTCAATATTTAGGTATAGATGCAAACAAATGATCATAACCATCAGATAATGATGTAGTGCTCCTGGCTAAGAACTATCCTCTTCATTTAAACAGTGATACGTGAATTTTTAGCCTTCATTTTACCTGAAGAAACAAAATAGCATCAATAGTAATTGGAAATAAAAAATCTAATAAGCCAAATATTAGATAAGTAGCAGTTTGGTTAGACCAGATATAGATTTAAAATCAAGTTTCATTTGTTTTAAATTCTATTTCATTTGTTTGAAATTTGAAATTTTCACTTCATTATAATTTAAGTTCCAGCCGAAGTTTCTGTTAGAGCATAAACTTTCAATGATCAAGTTGTGGTCGGTGAGACTGAATAGAAACAAAACTAAAGGCTTTAAGTGTTTACTGAATGCAAATAACAAGAGCAAAAAACATTTTTATTTCTTTATTTAAAAAAACATTGATTGTATTTCCCAAAGGTAAAGACTAAACACAATAAAACAATAAAGAGGTAAATATAAAAATGAATTACATTTGATAAAGATTAAGATGCCTTATATGTAGTCAAGAAATGGGATATTTCAACTTTATCAGTAGAAGTGAATTCTCTTTGAATACAGCTCACCGCCAAAGATAAAGCATTCAAATTCTAGTGCTTTGTGTGGGATGTTATAGCTGCTGGGGCCCTGAGCAATAAGGGTAGAGTCCTGCAACGGGTCGGGTACCCGCGGGTCCCCGACGGGTCCCCGACGGGTCACCTGCTAAAATGCTCTTTTGCGGGTGAAAAATACATAAATAAAAATAAACGGGTCGGGCGGATATTTTTTTTAGTGCGGGCGGGTACTTGGTGATTTTTTTTTATGCGTGTGTGTTTATGGACATCAGAAATGTTATATTAATCAGGCACTTGGGTCACCCTTGTTGTAGCTTAAAGCCGTGTGGGCTTCCCTCCAAAAAGGCCACAGTCAGTGCATACACATCTGCTGCCGTGTTAATGGCGCTGTTATGCAGTTATGCTGTTATGCATACTATAGCCTATTACTTGATGTGTTAACGGGTCGGGTTGCGGGTTAAATATCAACGGGTCGGGTTCGGATTTGAATTGAAGATATCCGCGGGTGACGGGTCGGGTCGGTAGTCATCCTAACGGGTTCGGGCGGGTGCGGGTTGGTAAAACTCAACCCATGCAGGACTCTAAATAAGGGGGATTGGTTCATGGGCTCAGCCTACCTGGATGGAGTGGCAGTGCTTCTGGTTCAGGTTGGGTTCTGAACCTTGTGTCTCGCTTTGTGCCTCTTTATCCTGGGGGACTGCTGCTCCATTGCCTTGTGAGACACCTACAGAGAGAGCCACTTGAAGTTAGTACACAATACTAATTCTGTATGGTATCAAGACAAGTCCTATTTGCATATTATTTGAATTGACTTAAAGACTGAGTTCCGTGCTTTTAGTTATTTTCAAACCTCCCCGGTCATCCAGGGTCGTTGGTTGGCCCAGGTGATGATGCTCTTTGTGGTGCTGAAATCCTCAATGCATTTGTTGATGTAGGCTGACACAGTCATGGCATACTCATCCATATTTATCTTGTTGTGATATGTTGCTGCAGCCTTGATCATCTTCCAGTTAGAGCATTCAAAACAGTCCTGCAGTATCTACATGGCCCCCTCAGCCCACACTCTGACTTCCTTCACTATTGGTATTGTCCTGATTAGCTGGGGCCTATATGCGGGAATGAGCAAGACTGATACAGTAGATGATCTTATGACCTGAGGTGGGAGTGGGGAGATGCTCTAAATGCATCTTTGATGTTAGAGTAGGCTAAATTCAAAGTGTTTTGACCCTAAGTTGCAAAGTCCACATGTTGGTAAAAACGTGAGAGAAAAGTATACAAGTTAGCCTGGTTAAAATCTCCAGCAATGATGAAAACGCCCTCTGTATGTGCAGATTGGAGCACAGAGATAGCCTGGTATAGAATCGTCATGGCTTCTTTTGTATTAGTGCTGGGGGAGGTGCATAAATAGCATTGACGCTTACCACAATAAACTCTCTGGGCCGAACAAACAGTCTGCACTTACTGTAGCAGTCCGAAACTCAATGTCTGTAGAGCAGAAACTGGTGACTGATCTAGCATTTTTACACCAGGTGTTCTTGATACAGACCCCACCTCATCTTGTGTTACTGCTGAGTTTGCAGTTTCTATCAGTGCAGTATAGTGTGAACCTCCACAGGCTAAAAGTATTGTCCGTGTCAAAAATGAAGCCAAGAGTTAGTCAGGATGATGTCGCAGCAGTTACAAATCTTTTTTGAAGAGAGTTTAAATTGGAGATTTTCCATTTTGTTATTCGGTGAGCAGACCTTTGATAACAGGATTGATGGGATCAGTATTTCTGTGGGAATTCCTTCTTAGCTTCACTGTTAGCTCACTACTGCAGCCCCTCTTTCGTTTACTAGCACACCGCCTCCTTTGGCCTTCTCTTTGGTGTGGCCTCCTCCATGAGTCCGCTGCTCTTATTTTATCCGTCTATAGCAGCCCGCAGCTACAGCCTTACGTTTCACTTTCTACTGTATTTACATACCTTATACTTTTTGTCCACTATTATAATGAGAAGAGTGGTGAGATGATCTTCAGGGCTCCTCTTCCCTCCATTAAAGATATTTCATCCCAGCGCTGCGTGTCCCGAGCCAGTAACATCATAAATGACCCCATGGACTGTTCTCTCTGCTGCCCTCTGGAAAGAGGCTTTGCAGCATTACAGTAGATGCAGGTCCAGCAAGATTCTGCAACAGCTTCTTTCCCATTGCAATCCGATAGCTGAACTGTTGAGAAAACTCTGAATCATGTCACAGACTCTGCATCACACTGATAACACCAAACCAAAATTCTGCATATTTGCACCATACATATTTACTGCTCTTAATTTCCATATAAATGTATTGTTCAATTGTTGATCACATCTAGGTGAACATTACCTCCTTTAGCTGACTCTTCCATTTCAAGTTCCTAAAGATTAAAGCTGTCCTCTTTTCTTCAAGATCAAGATCAATTTTATGGCTGTGCCTTCACCCACGGTGGTTGCCAGTTCCTTTTATTTTGCGCCCATGCTCTCCAGCACTAAGAGATTTTCACTGAACCAGACACCCATCCACTGATCAGTTACTGGATCCTCAACTGGATGTCTTCCTTCAGTGGTTAACAGAAAATCAAAACCCTTCTCTCATTGCTTGCAACTTGAATTAAACATAATCTGGATCTCCTCTCACAGCATATCTTCTTTACAGAAGCTGTTAAAGCCAGGTTCAGAAATGATCTCTGTCCACTTCATCATACACTGTAAAGTGTTTTCTGCAGCCTACTATGCTAGAGGTGTGTAGGACTCATGCATACTTACAATATAAAATAAATTACATTTAGTTCATTTTTTTCTATGTCTTTGTAAAGGGTGGAGCCTACTCAAACAACATTAACTTTTAGAAAGAAAGTAGCAAACAAACAGGAAAAAAACAACTAAACATGTAAAATCAATGTACTTCTGACTCAAATCAACTATTAAGAAAAATGTTATTTAGTTTCTGTTGGAGTCAGTCAGAGTATTTCCATAGAGCCACTTTGCATCAGCAGCTCCATGCTCCAGCGCTCTGGGAGAGTTTATAGTCCTGAGAGTTCAACACTGGATAACAGACAGCTGTCCTTCATGACAACAGAAGACACAGAAATCCTCCTCATCAAAAACATGACTTTGATCTGCGTCCTCATCTGGACTCTGCTCTGCTGCTGCTTCACAGGTAATGTCCAGAGAATCAAACTCCTCTCCTCTATGAACATCTGTCCCTCTGAAATGAAGCCAACAAACCATGAAGCTGCTTTATGTTTTTGTCTCTGTGTCCTCAGAGTCCAGAGGTCAGGTCACAGTGACTCAGCCTGCAGCAGTGAGAGCTGATCTGAGAGGATCTGTTGCCATCAGCTGTAGGACCAATCAGAATGTTCATAACTCTGCACATATAGCCTGGTATCAACAAAAAGATGGAGAAACTCCTAAGCTGCTCTTTTACTGGGTTGGCAACCGAGTCTCGGGAACTCCAAATCGCTTTAAAGATGCTGGATCAAACACTGCCTTCACTCTGACAATCAGTGGAGTTCAGGCTGAAGATGCTGCAGTTTATCACTGTCAGAGTCTTCATCACATCAACAGTCAGTGGATCTTCACACAGTGAAAAACAGTCGTACAAAAACCTCCCTCAGTCAGACTGAACAGAAACTCCAGCTGAATGTCAAAGCTGACACAGCTTATTAAATGCATATATTTATATTTTAACCATTTCTTTACTACAAATATATTTACATGTATACAAAATTGAAATTTTAAGATTTTTTTTTTCAATTTTTTTCTAGGTTTAAAAATCTTTCTTTTAGAGGAAAACAAAGTTAACTAGAGTTGTAAATAAACGTCAGCATTTGGGTGGAGTTGATAGTTGACATTGTTGACTTAGTACTGCTTGCTGAGAGTTGTCCTCAAATTCTTAGATTCTTATATTATTCCTTAAAAATATATAAGGTATTTTGTCCTCAATTTTTCCACAAGATACAAGAGCATGAAGTAGGATGAAGGCCGCAGTCCCAGACTGCGAAACACAAAGCATTACTGTAAGGAGGTCCTATGGCCACTACAAAGATATATCTATTGTTAGGCATATGAGTGAGAAAAGAGGTAAAAGGCCAGAAAAGGCTAAGAACCTATGTGACCCAACTACTCTTCCACTACAGCCATGTAGACTGAGCCCGGGAACTGAACTCCCTAAGGCCCAGAGCACTGGCAGCAATTTAGAGCCAATTACATTCTTTTAAATATATTTCGCTAGTGCTAATTCACAACATGTCATTTCATGGCACACTACATAGTCAATTCAATCAGATCATACAGTCAGATTGGTTTTCTATGAAAACCCAGCTGATTGTACTGAGTCATTGCTTTGCAGGACACACTACCCCTGGACTAGCAAGTGATGATAGTAGATATTCACCTACCTGCTGTCATTGACTTTGACTACAGCAATCCTCTGCACTAAACATACATGCAGTGACAGTGGAGAGGAAAAATTACCCTTTACAGTAACAAGAAGAAATTTCCAGTGTGTTAGGACAACAAATGAAAGAGTGAATAGAGCTCAAATCATTGTCAAACAGTTAACCCTGCACACATAAAGAATAAATTCACAACGACTTCCATTCAGAATACAATAATTAATTAACAAAAAGATTCTCCAGTGTCAAACATATTTCAGTTGAAAATTCTTCACTTAACTAGTGAAACTCAAGTAACTTGAGCTACTATGTACACAAATGAAAATAAAAACTGAAGGTCTGGGGAGAAACACAGGTTAGCAAGCATGATAATCTGGAGGATGATTGGTGTAAGGGAGTGTGGCCTACTGTTTAGGGCATTGCACTTGGAATCCAGAGGTTCTGAGTTCAAGCTCCACTCCCACAGACTGACACTCTGGCACCCTGAGCAAGCAAGAATGAGGTAGGATCCAGCCAGTGGGCTGACAATGATATGTGGTCGCCCAGAGTGTCCCAGATGCTGCAGCCCCAGAGAGTCCAAGCCAAGTCAGGGAAACAAATCAAAACTGGAAACATTCAGAACAAGAAGGCTCAGAGGTTCAGGAGTCCAAAGCCAGGTACCCTGTTAGCTGGATGCTAAAGGCAGCTAGAGGCAGTAGCAGGCAGATCACATTAGCGATAATGAGGCTGCACCACACAGTGCTACAAGAGGCTTTGCAGGTGTACTGTAGGTCCACTGTGGGTCCAGCAGATTCTTCAACAGCTTTTTTCCCACCACCATCAGACTGCTGAACTACTTAAAAAAAAACAACCTCTTAACTCAAGTCACAGACTCAAGTCATCACACTCATAACACCAAACCAAAATACTGCATATTTGCACTACATATGTTTGTCCTGAAATGCTCTGAACTTCCATATCATTGTTTTTGGACCAGATTTTCTTCGCCCACAGTGTTTAAATTTGATCACAACTGCACATGGAATGAAAATGTTAATTTTACTGCCAAGCTACTGCTATTTTGCCAAGCTACTGCTCATTTACTCTCAAAAAGCTGTACAATCACAATTTCATTTTGTATACACTCTGTGTATACACTGTGTTTATACAAAATGACAATAAAATTTCTCTAAGTTTTACCCAAGAAGAATCTATTTTCTTGGGTAACCTATTTATAGAGGGGTGTAATTCGTAATAAGAATTTTTTTGGAATGACTATGACCTGCATGACTGAAAATCTTCACCAGCAGATTCCTCCAGAGAATTTGTATTTTTATGTTAAATTTCACAATTATTTGAGGAAACATATTTCAGTATATGCTCGGTACTTGTTTGTACGGTGTTTGTCTGTTTGGTAATTAAGATTCATTATTTTTCTATGTAAGTCTAAAGGAAAGCTCTGTGGTTACATCTTTAAGCTCTCTCTCCCCAATTCTGGCCTGAGAAGAGATCACTCTGAGCAAACAACTTAATAGCACTTCATGATGTATATTTATTAAATAATTATTAAACATAACAAAAGATTTTGACAGAAATTGTAACATTACCCACACCAGAGAAAGGGCTCCTGTTAAGGAAGTCGGCCCCAAGTCACAGTTATAAAGAAGCATTTTATACACACTACCTGCGACCATATCAAAATACGTCCATTCTGAATGCACAGAGAGCTTGTTAAAGGGATAGTTCGGGATTTTTGACATTTTTGACAATTAAATGAGGGCACAGACAAAGTGTATAATACTTAAAGGGATAGTTCGGTATTTTTGACATGAATCTGTATGGCATCCCCATCACCAGTGTCATGCAATCACACTGACTTACCCCTGGCAGCGTCCTGTGAGCAGAGTTCTCGTCCAGTTTTGGTCAAGCC